ACAAACATAATCATAACCCATTAGATTTTTTCTATTCATAAATTAATCAATAAACAAAGTCAAGTTGGATTTTGAGATGATCTTAAGCTAATTACAAAAAAAAAAATTAATTTTTTAAATATATTAAGTCAAAGTGATATGTGCTTTTAAATTATTAAAAAAATTAATTTTAAAATACATATAAGCTGATCATGCTCAATACTAACAACTTGAATTTATAAAATAATATCAAAATTTAAAAAATAGAGGCAAAATAAATTGACTCACTTTGTAAAAAAAAAAAAAAGAAAAAAGAAAGAAAGAAGTGGAAACATAGAAAAATAGATAAAACTAGGAGGACTAAAAAATGCAAAACCGCCTTTTAAAATGACCGCAATGGCCTCAGAATACTGTGTGTGAGCTCTCGCTCTAAATCTCCCATTTTCCTCGCACATTTCGTACCGTAATTTTATTTATTTTATTTTTCCCCCAAAAACCTACACACTTTGAACCAAACTTGTCTTCTCCCCCTTCCTCTCCTCAAACTTCTCTCTCTGCTTTTGGGTTTCTTCTCTCTGAAATCTCTCAACCCTATTTCGTGCTCTCCACTCTGGATGTGCAGGCATCAATCGCTCTCTCCATCTTCTCTCTCAGGTACTGTTTGCTTCTTCTATCTCGGATTTTGATGCTCTAGATATGCGTATGTATAGCTGATCTGGTTGGATTCTTTTCGGTGCTTCAAAAATTGGGGATTTGGGTTAGTTTTGACTTGAGATTTTGATTATTGGGTTGTTTGGTTTTCTGATTTTTTCATTCTTGTTTTTGGTTTTTGTCCGGGTGTGCTTTTGCAGTGGAAGTTGAGTGAGATGGCCAACGTGAGATCGAGTTTGCCTTCGAGGCTGCGCCAGTTGTTGGCTGGTGAAGGCGCCATCGGTCCTTCTATTAAATTGGACACCGAACCCGTGAGTTTTTATTTTCTTTACTGTAATTTTGACAACTGCAATGGTGTTTGACTCTGATGACTTAAATGGATTATGAGTTTCTTTTGCAACTTTAGAAGCTTAAAATATATTTGTTTGTTATTATTGATTAATTTTTGCCTCTACAACTTGATGTTTTAATGATAACTGTTTTGGGTGAACGAGCTTTTTGTTGTATTTGTAGTTGCTATATTGTAAGAAGCTTGTATATAGCTAAATAATGTGTTGATTTCTGGGACTAATTATATTTAAAAGTTTGATTTCAAGATATTATTAGTTTTTGTCATATTTCATGGTTTTGTGCTTCATGTGATGTCAAGTGCTATTCAGCTATTCTTGTTTATTTTCTTCTATTGGGTATGCATATATTTACCAATTTAATGAATTTATGCCAGTTCTATATAGTTCCCAGATTGTTTTTCTACTAATTGCTAGCTGATTCAAATTGCTCCCTCCAGCACACACGCACATAGATATACCTTTACCTGGGCAATAAATCTTACCTTGTTTGTACTTTCTGTGCAGCCTTCTAAAATTAAAGCATCCATTGATAAAGTGATCCAGAGTCCATTACAGGATATAGCAATACCTCTCTCTGGGTTTCGCTGGGAGTACAGTAAGGTGTTATCAGTGCTATTTGTTCTGAATCGATTCCCCCCCGTTTTTCTAATATTTTGTTCTTTCACTTACTTGTTCCTTCTTTTTATTTATTTATTTATTTTATTTCAGGGGAATTTTCATCATTGGAGGCCATTGTTTCTGCATTTTGATACATATTTCAAGACATATTTGTCATGTAGGAATGACCTCCTTCTATCCGATAAAATTCTAGAAGATGATAGTCCATTTCCAAAGCATGCGGTTCTGCAAATATTACGGGTGATGCAAACTATTTTGGAAAATTGTCCCAACAAAAGTGCATTTGATGGCTTAGAGGTATATCTAACTGTATGAAATTGTTTTGGTCTAACTTCTTAGTTACTTGTTAAGCTATGATTTATATCTGTTTGTATCTGCGATGCCACCTTTTCTAATACATCTGCATTTATCTTTTTCAGCATTTCAAGCTTCTACTTGCATCTACGGATCCTGAAATTCTTATAGCCGCACTAGAGACCCTTGGTGCACTTGTCAAGATAAACCCTAAGGTTCATGGGAGTGGTAAGTTGATTGGATGTGGCTCTGTAAACAGTTATCTGCTTTCTCTCGCTCAGGGCTGGGGAAGCAAGGTGGAGGGCTTGGGATTATATTCATGTGTTTTGGCAAATGAGAGAACACAGGGTGAAGGACTTTGTTTGTTTCCTTCTGACGTGGAAAATGACTCTGACAAATCTCAATACCGACTTGGTTCTACACTTTATTTTGAATTGCATGCACTCAGTAATCAAGTTACTGAGGAAAACAGTATGAACACAAATTCTACCATGCAAGTCATACACATGCCACATCTTCAGCTGCGAAAGGAGGATGATTTATTATTAATGAAGGAATGCATTGAGCAGTACAGTATACCTAATGAGCTCCGGTTTTCATTGCTGACTAGAATTAGATATGCTCATGCCTTTCGGTCTCCTAAAATATGCAGGCTGTATAGCAAGATCTCACTTCTTGCATTTATCGTGCTTGTTCAATGCAGTGATGCTAACGAGGAATTGGCATCCTTCTTAGCTAATGAGCCAGAATACACAAATGAGTTAATCAGGATTGTGCGGTCAGAGGAAAGTATTCCTGGAACTATTAGAACTCTTGCAATGCATGCATTGGGGGCTCAGTTAGCTGCATATTCAGCTTCTCACGATCGGGCAAGAGTTTTGAGTGGATCAAGTATCAGTTTTACTGTAGGGAACCGAATGATTCTTCTGAATGTGCTTCAAAAAGCTGTTTTGTCGTTGAAAAGCTCCAATGATCCATCATCTCTTCCTTTTATTGAAGCTCTTCTTCAGTTCTATTTGCTGCACATTGTTTCATCCTCAGTTTCAGGGAGTAATATTAGGGGGTCAGGAATGGTTCCCACATTTTTGCCTCTTTTGGAGGATTCTGATCCGAACCATATGCAACTTGTCTATTTGGCTGTTAAAGCCCTCCAAAAGCTCATGGATTACAATAGTTCAGCTGTGTCACAACTTCGAGAATTGGGTGGAGTAGAGCTCTTGTCCCGGAGGCTTCAGATAGAAGTAAGTGGAATTACTGGTACAGCTGGAGAGAATGATAATTCAATGATAATTGGTGAAGGCCCAACAAATGGTGATGATCTACTGTACTCACAGAAGAGGCTTATCAAGGTGCTTTTGAAGGCACTTGGTTCTGCTACATATTCCCCTACAAACAACACTAGACCTCAGAACACCCATGATAGTTCTTTACCTCATACTTTGTCACTGATATATGAGAATGCAAATAAATTTGGAGGTGATATTTACTATTCAGCTGTGACTGTTATGAGTGAAATTATCCACAAAGACCCAACCTGTCTTCCTTCTCTCCTTGAACTGGGTCTTCCAGATGCCTTTCTATCATCAGTCGTAGGTGGAGTACTTCCTTCGTCAAAGGCTATTACATGTGTTCCACATGGGCTTGGTGCCGTCTGCCTTAATGCCAAAGGTTTAGAGGCAGTGAAAGAAACCCCAGTGTTACGGTTCCTCATTGACATCTTCACTAGCAAGAAATATGTATTGGCAATGAATGAAGCTGTTGTTCCATTGGCAAATGCAGTAGAAGAGCTATTGCGTCATGTTTCTTCCTTGAGAGGCACTGGTGTTGATATAATAATTGAAATTGTAAATAAAATTGCTTCCCTGGCTGATAGCAACTTTTCCAGTTCATCCTCTTTGGAAAAGGCGAATGGGAGTACTGCAATGGAAACTGATTCTGAAGAAAAGGAAAATAAAGAGCATTGCTGTCTGGTTGGTGCTGTTGATTCAGTAACAGAAGGCATCAGTGATGAGCAGTTCCTTCAAT